TATTAGAATTGATAAGATGAAACTCCGAACAAAGGCCGCCATTTTTCAATTGATATCCCATAATACGTAGCAAAAGTTCGAGAATTTTCGCGTACAAAAAGAGACATAAGAACATCCAGAATGGCGTTTGTCAAATAGTATAGCTGTTCGAAATTTTCTTATTTTAACGTGTATTTCGAGGTAAATTACTAAATAGTAATTAAGAAGTGATGTGATACTGATAGTTGCAAACATGTAACATGTTACTAATAGTAATACTACTAATAGTACCGGTAAAATGGCGGTATGATGATGTACACCTAATCAGGAGCTAAATGTCATTATTACTACTAGTACTAGTACTACTAGTACTAGTAGGCCTACTAGTATTACTAGTATTACTACTACTAGTATTACTAGTAGTAGTATTAGCTACTGACATACCATGGCATTACCAGGGCATTAATGATATAATATATGAAAATAACTAAAGAATCAAACTGGCTGAGTGCCAATAAAAGTAAGACAGCTCTGACAAGTTCGTGTCACTGCTTGTCAGATAAAAGAATATTCGCGTGGAATTCAATGTGTCGTTGTTAATTTATGGCAAAAATATTATTAAACAAAAACTCTCGTGCACCTCAACGGGGGCTGACATGACATAAAGTGAGCATCCAAAATTATGACGTCATGGGAACGATTTCTTGCTACATAGACTGGTCCCTTATTTAACTAGCTGATATCAGGAGTCTATCAATATGCTGATATCGCATGCGTAAAGAAGCAAATTGTTGGGAAATGTAACCCGTCTAGGAATGTCGTCTTCGTATGGGCGTGGAAATCGGCACGTGCGCTCGACGCGCCTTGGTAAGTGGCTGAGTTGCAAGCATTGGTTGCAAGAGAGCCTTCCCCTCTGGTAAAGTTTGTTTTGAAAGTGTCTGTGATCTACTTGTCATCGGTTCTATAGGATCACACTTGTGATAAGGTATTCAACTGGGACTAGTAGGTATACCTCGCATGCTAACACGTGTACGACTCATGAATGAAAATCGGTATCGGCATAGAACGGACGGTAAACCGATAAATTATAATACTTAAAATAGTTCCGTAGGTATATACCGGGTTACGGGTAGCTACTCTACTCTCTAGTCTACTGTCTAGTAGATACAATAATGACATTAATGTAACCCAAACCCAAGAGGATAGAGGATGAAACCCTATCCTCTTGGGTTTGGGTTACATTATTGTATCTACTACTCTAGTAGTAGTACTAGTAGTACTAGTACTAGTACAAGTAGTAGTAGCAGGCTGGCCCGCGTGCCGTAGCGTAGGCATGCCAGTGCTAGGGGGGTCTGGAGGCATGCCCCCCAGAAAATTTTGAAATATTTAAGCCATTTTCCTGCAATCTGAGGCATACTGTGGGCCATATTCTCATGTCTGATGACACTATCTGAACCCTATAGACTCAACCCTACAAGTTAGGATTCAAAACACTTTTCATGACTTTTCAGAGAGCGTACACAGTTAGGTTACTACTTTACTAGTCTATAGTAATAATACATGTATTAAAACACAGGTAAGAATTGCAATTTCTCACAATTTTACGTGTTTTTGTATGTTTGCAACCATACTTTTTGGCTATTTGTGAGCCTGGAAACATTTTCTTAAAGAGTTCATTAATTTGCATGGTCTGCCGCCCTCAAAGGCACATTGTGTATATTTGTGTTCAATTAAATAATCCGTAAATCTCACTTCTGCGTCAAGACAGACAATTCTCTATCTGCTGCAAAGAAGCTTGATATATTGGGTGTAGATTCCACTGCACCCGCATAGCACTTATGCTGTTGAGAGACTATATATGCCTCTGGCAGTCACTCCTTCCTCCGTGCCCCGCTTGAAAGTGTCTTGCATACCATGCAATAGCCATGATTAACACTGAGTTTTGACTTCACAAGTACAGGTCACATCTGTGTATATTCGTTCCTGAATTTCTGTAAAAGTCGGGTTTTTTGGATGGCAATGGCAATTGGACGCTATTCTCCCCACGTGTTAATCTGATTAGCAGACAATTTAAACTACGCGACACCTTGCAGACAGCGCCTGTCTGACTAGGCTGTTTCATTTACCGTAGACATGCCAGATACAAAATGCATAGAAACACATTATAACACTGAGCGATGGTAGGGGGTGCAAAACTAACGGAATGGCAGAGTGTTCATTTCCAAGAAACGACTCGCGCAGTGAAGGCTATTAATAAACTTGCTGCATCTCTACTGCACCAGCGCTTAGCCAGTGCCAGGCACCCGCTGAAAAAAAAAACAATGTGTCCAAGCGAACAATGCGAACAATCAGTGCAAATTTTATACAGTGCAACTGAAATGAGGAATATAACCTTGCCGCTGCGAAGTGCGGAAATTAAGCCTAGAAATCGTAATGATTCCGCAGAATGGTTGGAGACCCTGCTACTAGTCACAAGTTCCCTTTTCGCTTAACACTACGTTGGCGAGAGGCGTCCTACACCGTGTAACAGTTGGAGAGCCTGGTCGGTTTAGTACTACTAGTAGTAGTACTACTACTACTAGTACTAGTATAATACTATACTCTCGACCAGGGGTGTCAAACTCATTTTGGTTCATGGGCCTCATACAGCCCATCTGATCTCAAGTGGGCCGGACCAGTAAAATAATGGCAAAATAACCTACGTCAACTCCAAATCTTTAGCTTTGTTTTTCAGTACTATGCTTTATCATTCAGCCTACATGTGTAGCCTACATAATCACGGACCACAAAGATCTATATATTAGCACAACACATTTATTCACAGATAGGCCAATGGAATTGAAATAAAATGCATTTCACATTCATTAACAATGACTCAAATAGAGTTGAGTGAATACATTTTTACATCTGAACACCTGAACCAACTCACCACACTAAACAAACTCAACAAAAGTTCTACATGTCGCGGGCCTGATCAAATCATCTCGCGGGCCGGATCCGGCCCGCGGGCCGTATGTTTGACACCCCTGCTCTAGACTATACTACTACTAGTATAGCCCGCGTATAGCTCTAGTAGTAGTACTAGTAGTAGTAGTACTACTATAGCTCGCGTGGCGCGTACGCGTGGCGCGTTCCTCCCATTTCACTGTGCGTTTTAATTAAAACCCACAAGAAAGAGGTGCGAAATCTGGTAATCTGGCGCCAACGCTGACTTGTTTGCCAAACAATTTAGCCTCGAAGCGGTTAGGTGACGTCACATGTTTTTATCTTTGCTACAACCGTACCGCTGTACCGCAGCACCGCTGCACGGTTGATTGGGAGAGCAGCGCGAAACTGTCAACAACATCGGAGAATTTGAACAACATTGGAGGTATTTTCAAATGCCTTTTATAAGACAATGCGCAGTGAAATGGGAGGAACTAGAGTTTATTTTGTCATTAGGTAGTATGATTGACACGAAGTATTTGCTAGTCTAGTACTGGAGAAATTAGCGTGTAGATGCGCATAGTGCGGCTTTAAGAGTATACAGCCACTGTCTTTGCAACCTAGCTGAGAGAGTGTTATGTGGGTCAGTTTTGCTACTGGTATTCCTGGCTTGTTTGTAATATACTTCACTATGATATATTTGAGTGTAACTCCTGTTTGATTCTTTGTTGATTTAATGATATAATTAAAAATCCAGGGATGTGCCAGATTCTGGGTATCACATGTTGGGTGTCTAGTATATCACATAGATCTTTGCTCAGATTCATATATTAATGTGCATGAGATTGAGAAGTGCTCACACAACCCATTGGCATTACTAGGTATAAACAAGACACATGCTTCTTCCATGATGTCATATTGCTAAGATAAAGGAAGAGGATGGCATGGAGTGGCAAGAGAATGAGATAGTTGTGACTAGAGATGGTAAAGAGAATGGGTGAGACATAGTGGCAGATGGAGAAGGTGGTCACTGCTAGGGTGCTGGAGAAGTGAGAGAGTGGTAGGAAAGGGATGTAGGGAAGGAGCGGTTTGAAGATGATGTAGGGAGAAAGAAATAGGAAGGTGATATCAGGAAAGAACAGTAGGAGAGTGATTTATAGAAATAGCAGTAGGAAGGTGGTGCAGGGAAATAGCAGAAGGAAGGTTGAATAATGGTCATATAGCGCAGAATGAAAAAGTGGTGAAATAGTGTTGGGAAGAGGAGAAGGTGAGGTGAGGGAAGTGGGTGGATTGTGGTAAAAAGAGGGCTATGTGGTAGGGTTGCGCTAGACATAGAAGTGGATGAAGTCAGCATGAGGGTGAGGTGCAGTTTTTACCTAATGTTTGCAGACTTGCCTGGCTCATCTAGAAATTATTTAAATACTATCGTATCGTTGGCGGTAACCCCAAGTGCGCGTAACAAGATAACGGTCTTAAGATACAAATGTCTGCTAATAAATTTGATAGTTCAAATCCTTCGTGCAAGATGCAGGACGTGGAACTAGCTTGCAATGTTTTTAAGCATAAGCTAGCAGTAGCAGTGACACAGATGTGTGTTGTGCCCGGATTGTACTTTGTTCCTATTTGAACTGCCTGCAGGTGCACGCTGTTTGCTAAGCTTGTGTTGCACGCGAGCGTTACTGGATTTCGTCGGTCTAGAATGGAGAACGAAACCAATCCTCATTGGCAAACATTGAGCCTCAAGCGTTCGTGGTTTAACGTTCGTATGTAGCGATCACTTATGTGTAGGCGGGATAGATGTGCAATCATTGAGCTGCACAAATGTAAACATAGGGGCGTTAACAAACGAACAATTCAAATATAGGCGATAATTCGATGTGTGTTCATGTAACGTGCGTTATAAAAATCTCGGCAGTTTGGTGTTTTATGAGTAACAGGATTCGTCCGTGAAGAGGAACGTTAAGATTAGTTGCCCCCCACCTAGTGATAGATAAACGTCATCTGACACTGACAAATCTAGGTGCATATATATATATCAAGAGTAGATAATATAACAATTATCTACTCTTGATATATATGACATGCACGAGTAGCCAGAGTTGTCTTACGAACCTATATCACAGAGATGGCTGTTTGCACGCAAAACATCTACGGAAATACCGACGCGGAGGTTTTCGTCTGTTTGTTTTAGTGCAACTTTGCACGCCTTGGCGTGCCCGTGTTACTTCTGGCGATGCGTAGACGTGCACTGTGTCTGGCTAAGAGCAATTTGCAGTTGAGGGGTTGTACACGACTGAAAAATGTTTTCACGAGGCTTTACATCAGCCGTGTCTTTAAAATCGCCAGAGAACCATCGTTCACTGAATGCTAGATCGCAGTTCCCTAACGCGCAGAGTTAAGCGATAACGAGTGGATGATGGATGGTGGGCATGACTCACAGTTAAGGGGGTAAAGGCGTTTTAGGGTGCCGCTGCTGTCGCCGCCGCCGGCCGAAAAGAATACGGTGGTGGTGGGGGTGGGGGTGGGGGGTGCTGTGCTCGGGCAGGAAAAATTGGGCCGCATTCGTCGTGCTCCGCAGGCGCACGCTGCAGAATCAGTAGCGCTACGACAACCTCCTCTGGGTATGCATCAACAAAAAACATCTCTCCTCTGCAAGCTAATTAGATTAGGCTGTCTGGCAAGAACCGGCGCTTCGCCGTGTGCGCACGCGCGCAGGGGTGAAGGAATGTTCCCATACGGATTTGTTTGTGGGTTTCTCGGGGAGAGCCATTCGCACCGATGCGCGTTTGGTCGGCGGACGCTTCCCTCGAACGGTGCATGCGTTTGCTCAGCTGCAACGAGGTTGCATGTGCATCTCCGGCATGCGTCCACTGCACAGTGAAGCGTGAACCTGCCAACGTCTCCGCCCAGTGCACCCTGGTGAGGACTCGTAGCGACAATCGCCAGCGTCGCATTGTTCCTCGGATTTTTCCCGTTGTCGCCGTGGTGCCGATGTAAGGACGCCCGAGGAGCCCGCATCGGCTAGCATCTCCTGTGAAGCGTACGGGCACACCTCCGTGACCAGCGATTACGTCGCGTCTCCGTGGCGACGGGATGCTGCAGTGACCGATGATCGCCTTGCATTTCCTTGGCTACAGGAAGCTGCATATCTAACTCATCGAGGCGCCGTCAGCAGGCGGTCTCGTACCGGGGACTCGATTGAATCGTGTGTGCGTAGTGAGTAGTGTCGTGGGTGGAGACAAACTGTAGTGCGCGTGATAGTGTCGGCTCACATGCCATTGGTGATCATAAAGATGTCATCAGTGTGAGCGCGGGGATGCCATATCACATTCCGTGTGTCCGTCGACGACTCTGGTAAGGATTAGATGCAGCCGTGTCTGCTCGCGTAAATGTAGGTGGGTGAGTCCGCGAAAATGTGGACGCGACTTTAAAACGTAGAAATGTGTCGTTCTAGTAAAATTTTTTTTTGCGAGATGGCACATATAAGCTGCAAATTCTCTGTAAGTGTAAGTCAGTCATGATCAGGGAGTGTCAGGGTCTATAACGAGTGCTGTACCAGCGTTCGGGGACAAGGCTTTGAGATTCAGTACTATGACATCAGTTCTAAGTGATTGAAAACAGTTTTGTATTCACTGCTGATGACGTGTTGAGGCGATTGCCTCCATCTACATTCACATGTCGAAGACTGAGAGAGACGGCGACACTTTCAGTGTGTGCCGAGACTCACTCCAGTTGAAATCTTTCTATATCTATGACACTGCTTTGCAACGTCTTATGGCTGTCTGGAAAACCCCCTGCGACTACTCATCCCAGCACCGGCCTTCTCTCTCTCTCTCTCACTCTCGCGCGCGCGCGGTGTTTATTTTGATTCGCGACGGGCGCCATCCATCTACCAGAGACATAACTGTTCGGCACTCACCACCGCGCTCACACGCACGCGGGCATCCGATCCCTCGCTCGGTTCCGCAGCATCTTCCAGCGGGGATTTGTAGTCGCGTTCGGCCCTCCCCACCCCTGTTAGCACAGGAGGAAGCTCGGGTGGGAAGGTGGGTGGGTGGGGGTGTGTGGAGTGGTGGTGCTGGTGGTGGAGGAGGCTGTACTTTGAATGCGTAGGTCTTCGCAGCGGTGGGTTCGTTCGTTTGCATGCGATGCAGGTTTGAGAGTTTTCGCGATGTTGCAATGCTGCGTTTGAGTAAAAACAGAATTTAAGTAAGCAGGCGGATCAGGGGTCTGCGGATTCTCCGTGTACAGTACATGACGTACGTACGGTACGTGGGCGTGAGGGGGAAAACTGGGCATTGATACCGTCGATTCTGTGCTCAGCCTAGACGTGATGCGGCCATGATGCCGAGGCGAGCCGAGGATTGTAACTTTGTGTCCTCCAGTCACAGCCTACGCCGCACCTCCCTTTGAAATTTTTATAGGTGGGGACCCATCACAGTACCAAATCGCCGATCTCAGGAACTAGGGCATTCTGCTAGGCTAGAACGGTTTCCTACGATAGAGTTTGGCACAAAAACGAAAATAACACGCCGTTTAGCGCATTGCGCTACGTACTTCTGTTGCATTTTCGCATCTCCGTAATCAGAATAAGCCCCGCCTTCTTCGTTGATGGGCATGAATGGGGCGTCACCGACGTGACCAGTTCCTATACCGACTGTGTTTACTTTTCGTAAATAATGAAATGCCCGGCCGATGCTAGACCTGGCACCACCTTCACTCCGGCTAGTATCCTTCGCTACACTGATGCTGTTAGTGTAGCATGTGGAACTGTCGACCGGGTACCAGTCTAGGCCGATGCCAAACTGCATGCAGTGCACTTTCGTACACTCAGGATACTCGTAGATTGAGCCCATGAGCGAGATCGAATTTGGCGCACGTCTCCACTGCGGGCAGCGCTTTATACTTGAACATCCCCGCTGTCGCGTGCGCATATCCCGCGGAACTGCGCGTCTCAGCCGCGTGCAGCGATTCGGATCAACAGCAAAGCTGTGCCACGCAATCTTGTATCATGTCTCTCTGGATTTTTTCTCACCAGTTTGTATGCGTGCATGCATGCTGGCGTGCTTGCATCTGAGTGTGCGCGTGTGCGATTTCAAATAGGAATGGTACAACTTCCACTTGTATCAGTGGTTCGATAAGTATGAATGCCTGCAGTAATAGTTCTATATGTCTGTAATTACAGTCAAACACTACAAAAGTATTCCTTATCTAGACAGGTCTCTGTTCTATAGAAGAAGGTTCACATTATAACTGCCACTCTAAGGAAATGCCAAAAGTGTGCTTTATTGACATATGTCCGTTCTATAGAGGTCGTTTCACTTTATAACTGCCACTAAAGGAAAATGCAGTGTCCTTTATAGACAGGTGTGGTTGTTTTTTGAGGTGTTCGCTTACACATGCTCGACCGTATCCAAACTACTGTTCGGCACTGCTGCTAGGAATTAGGAAGCCTGCGTTAGAATGCCTACACAAGGGAAGCTCTCTTGTTAGGCTGGCCTCGTTGCGAAGCGCTTAAATGAATCTCGCGCACACATGAGGCTGACGCCCTGCGGGTGCCTTTGCGATGCCGATACCCTGCCTATCAGGACCGTTACGATCACTCTCCTCTCTCAGTTACCCCCCTCCCCCCTCACCCTCCCAGAGGAAGCTGAGGAGATTAAGTGTAAACACACGCAGATCTCCCGAGATCATAGCCACCCCTCGGTCAGAATCCTGAGGCCGAGCAGTTCGTTCGGTGCTGTGTGACCGCTCGTGCTGAGTTTCTGGATTGTGGACCTAGCTAACCACTCGCAGAGCTCTGCGGGTAGGCCCCCTAGATTTGCGGATGCTGAAGGCTCGAGTAGGACACACATCTGGTAGATTGAGCGTACGTCACGGGGGGCGGACCGTGTTGTTGTTGTTGTTATCGCTCTGCCTCCCTCCCCCCATCCCCCGAGTGAGCGTGGACCACTCCTTCATGGGAAAAATGTGTTTACTCATGCACGAGTGGGGCCTAATAGTACTAATCTCGATGGGGTTTTCCGGTGTGTCCAGTCTGCCCCACGCAAAGTGTGGCAACGAACGGTGGCCGCCAGAGCTGGCTTTACTCACCGTCTCCTCGCCACGTGTGTTCACCGCACAGCTGTAAACTCCCCCCCCCCCCTCCCCCCCCCGGCTGCTACGCAGAGAGCTGGCTGGGCAACGCTCGCGAGGCGAAGAGGCTCTTATACTAAGGAGGTACGCAGGAGGTACGCGGTAGAACTCTGCTTTCTATCCGGTTGCGAAGGATCGCGCGCGCGCCGGCGGGTGTGCATGCCTTCTGCTTGCTTTATTTAGTGCCGGCGACGTCGTGGCCGGCGGAAGCAGCACAGGCAAATGCGGGCGCGGGGGGCGCGAGGTCGTATTTCCCGTGCGGAATGCTCCCGGCCGATTCGAACAGTGCTCCCACTTCGTTTCGGGTTAGTCGCACACGCGTCGCGCTGGCGGCGGAACAATTATTGTGCGTTGATCCAATATTCGGTGGCAGCCGCTGCGTGGTCCACACGGAATGCCGTGACCTGAATGATGGATACCGCGTAGAAACCTCGTGACTGCGGTAACGGGGTGCTGTGCTGTTTCGTAGAGGCGTCGCAGTAATGCGTAGCGCCTGAGTCAGCAGTGAGAGTGCTCTGCTGTAGTCCACCCTGCAGACGTCTCGGTTTAACCTTGCGCGCGTGGCGGGATGCCAGGGTACGCAGACTCGTAAACGCAGCCGGCGGTGCCTCGCCACTCTCATCGACACTAATGGCTTCGCGTCTTCCTTGAGAAGTGATCTCTTGTCTCTGAGTGCGCCCATAAAGCGCGTCCGCCGCCGCTCGGCAGTAAGAGATAGCAGGAGATGAGGTCACGGTGTAATTATAGGTCCCGTGCGAGGTATCTGTGCTGCTGAATCGTTAGTGGTAAGCGATCTTAGGTAATTTACGGCGATGGCGTAATTGTGGGCGGATGTATTCGCTGATTTAATGCTGCTTGTAAAAGATGTCAAGAGATGAAGTTGATAGTGTAATTATGACTGACTGCCCAGAGAGGCATGCTGGATCCATCCTCTATGGGGGCAGATTGCCCGCCATTAAAGAATGCCCTCAGCTATTCAGGGGAAATAGATATACATGGTATGCCCTCTTCAAATATACATGGGTAACCCACACATATATACGTAGGAATATCTCCTCCATTATACATGGGAAGCTCTCAGATATTCGTGGGTAGCCCTCAAATATACATCCATGGGAATTCCTGCTCAAATATACATGGGTAGCCCTCAGTTATACATAGGTAGCTCTCAGATATGCATGGTGTGTCCTCAGATATGCATGGGAAACACTCAATTAAATATATGTGAATTCTTCCTCAGCTATACAGGGAAGACGTTAGCTATACATGTGAATCCCTCCTCAGCTATACAAGGAAGCCCTTAGCTATACATGTGAATCCCTCCTCAGCTATACAAGGAAGCCCTTAGCTATACATGTGAATTCCTCCTCAGCTATACAGAGAAGCCCTTAGCTGTTCGGCGGGAAGCTCTCTTCAGCTATGCGTTGGAAGACCTCCATTATGTAGTCATGCTGCACGTCTCTGCTTACCAGCTCGTAAATACCTTGGTTGTTATTATGCATCTGCCTCGCTTGCGTGATGGGCGCAGATGCCACAGTCTCCCCCTGACGCGCAGCCACTGTAGAGGCTTGTGGCTGTCATGGGTACGTCCCCCCCAGCAAGGCGCGTGTTCGCTCGCGCCCCAACGTCGCTATTTCATCTTCGTGCCTAGCCGTTTGTTTGTGAAGATCAAGTGGAGTGAGAGCAGAGGAAACCTAAGCTTTTTCTTGAGCCACCCATTAAACGAAACAGCGAATTGTTTAGCATGTTAGTGAAGCTCGCCTAATGCCGAAGATTGATAAGAATGGGGAGTGAGATGGGTAAAGTTTTACCTCATGCTGATTAGAAATAAGGATTGGGAATTCTGGCTAAAGTATGGCTGGGTATTGTTGGAATCTTGAGTCTTGATCGAATTATATGAACGGACACAAAGTCACCTAATACTGATAGAAGAATGGAGAGAGAGAGACAGAGAGAGAGAGAGAGAGAGAGAGAGAGAGAGAGAGAAAGAGAGAGAAAGAGAAAGAGGGAGAGAGAAGATGAGAAAGTTGCCTAGTGCTAGTCGTGGGTAGATGAACATGCGATGTGAAGAGAGGAAACAGTGGATGGTCACCTATAGAATGATCCATATAGTCGACCACCGGCGAAATATAGGAGGAACAGTGTGCCAGCCACACGTGTCTGTGATTCCCCTCATCTGAATGTTAACTTATTCATTCCAGTTTCTGCGAAAACCTGGAGCTGGCATGGCGTGCTAGCGAAGCACGGTAGCTATGGACAATACTGGATCTACGCGCAACAAAACAGGGCAACAGCGATCGTGCGCCGCAACGCGTAGGGAGCAGCATATCTCCGACCGGCACCTGCATTCATAAATCGCGCAGTACAGCAGAGCACAGCGCAGCGATGGAGGAGCCAGCGAGCGAAGGTAACCGAAGACCGACATGTTTATTGAAAATGCCGGGGATGCCGCTGTGATCACTACAGCCCACTCACTCGATGCCGTCACGTTGCTGATGCGGCATATGTTAGTTCTCATAGGGCTTTGGTGATACGTATATGGTTTTTGCAATGCCACGGTGGCTTCCATGGCACATATGGTGCTTTATTAATACCAATAAATTTAAATAGTGCAGTAATAAGGGCTTCATCACAGCAGAAAAGGCTTCCATGAGGTTATAGGTTCGATGGTAGTGACAGCACTAATAACAGCTACCAACATGGCCTCAGTAGTACCGATAGTGTTTCACATGCTGTGCAAGTGATTTATGTGGAATGGGGCCCTTCTCATTCTGCGTGAGCGAGATGGTAAGTGGATCCCTTAAAAATAATGCTGTTTCTTTCCTTGCTTGACGAGGGTGCCGCAACACAAACTCAGATTCTTTTCAGAGGAATTTTTTCCCTGCATGTTTTTTATGCAATGTTTTGGTTTCATTTCGTTCAGTCAATACACAGTTTTACTCTCTACTCTCAGAGTCACACATTCTGAATTCGTACGTGACATGCTGTGTCTGAATATAGAACAGGTTCCTTTATAGGACCTTCCAATTTCTTGAAAAGTGCATTTTATTTTTTATCAGTAAGACAGCATTTCACTAATGCAAGTCAAATTTCCCAATAACTCTTCATGCAATTTCTTCTCTCAACTTGTTCATTCTATAACTACGAGCTTACACTCCTACCCGGTTTTTGTTATAGATAAGATTATTCTGACCCCGATTAAGAAGGGTCAGAAGTCAACGACACTAGTGATGGAGCGCACTAAGAAGCTAGCTGATACCAGCAAGGTGCTGCATGTTGGTGGGGGCGCCCACCACGGCATCGTCATCAACAGAGATGTCACAAAAGGTGCGCGGGTAAAATTGTGACGCGCAGTCTGCCCTGTACAAAGCATACAAGATATTCACTGTGTATCAGATTCTAGCTGTAATTGTTTAATTTTGTCATTCTGATTCGTGTCGGAGATGGCGTACGTACATTGAGCTACTTTGGATGTGATTCCGCGTATCGTTTCAGAGTAATGATCGAAGTTAAAGGCAGTTCATGAATTTTATGCATTCTCTTCTGTTTGACTTTGTTTTGATTCCGTTCTGTTGTTTTTTCAAGACTCGGGTTCTGTGGAGGTTGCACCTCACGACCTTCAGCTGCAGTTCAAGGTGTTTCTCCAGGACACGGCCAAGCATGAGACCCTCCTCACGCAGGTGTGAGCGGGAATCGGTGTGCAGTGTGCAACGGTCATAGTTCGTTGGTAGTCAATGTCAAAGTAACGTTAACAATTTGTATCTTACACAAACCATTTGTGTGTAACTGTATGGTGTGTGTGCGTGCATGCATGATTATGTGTGTGTGTGTGTGTGTGTGTGTGTGTGTGTGTGTGTGTGTGTG